GCACCTAATCCTGATTGTAAGTCTAAAACTGACATTTCCTGAAAAGTTATCTCTCAATTCTGATTAGTTGATTGGAATGATGTTCCAGGATCAACAAGGATGTTGATCCAGGAACATATTGTACTTGGTCAAATCACGTTCACCCCAAATCCGTATAGACTTTTTGTCGAACACAAAATTAGATGTTTTGAAGAATGTTTTTGCTGCACTGGATTCTTCCATTTCACAAAACCATATAGTGACCTGCAGGAATTGTCAAGGTCCAAAATAAGCCTCAAAAGGTAGTCCTTTCCAAGACATTTAATGTCATATGCTTTAAATATGTTAGTAATTCTACTATTTAAAATAATAATAATAATAATAATAAAATAAAATGCAACCTGTTAAAGGAATACTTCATCCAAAAAGGAAACTTTGCTCAAAATGTACTCACTCTCAGGCCATCCAAGATGTAGATTAGTTTATTTCTTCATCAGAACAGATTTGGAGAAATTAGTATTACATCAATTGCTCACCATCCTCTGCAGTGAATGGGTGCCGTCATAATCAGAGTCCTAACAGCTGATACAAACATCACAATAATCACTGAAACCAGTTTTACACATTTCTCAAATTGCTCTTCTACAAACCGTTGAGTCAATGTTTTTTTTTTTTTTTTTGGCTTTTCAGCTAATTTAAATTTTTGGGTGAACTGTTCCTTTAATCTGTGAACTGTAAGTTGTCCTATCATATATGGCAAAAGTTAGGCTATATATTTTAAATAACTGTAATTTTTGGACACCTTGACTTGTCGATAATTGTGAGCGGAATCAGAGAAGTAACAGCACTCACTCTCAAATGTGTGAGTCAGTGGTGTGTTTGGACAGGGCTTTGCAAATTTATGTCCCTGAATATTTACTGGTGGTTCTTCTAGCCGCCTCAAGGCATAGATGTGATTCACAATACCCATTTTGCCCTTATTAGCTGAGGACCTGAAAAACAAGAGAAACATTACAGAGTCCCACTGTGATCTCACACTCATCACCATTAAATAATCATTAAATACACAAACTCCTCTCAACTCAATCCATCATCAAAGGGATATTTCCCTAATCTTGTCAGATGAATCTGGGCTCTCTGCCCTCAACAAAATCTACATCTTTCTCTTAAATTCAAATCTAATTTTTAAGTCCTGATAACACTGAGGGAAGAAAATAAATGCACCATTTACCTTTTCCCTGTTGGCAAAAGCAACACATTACCCTTCCTTGACATTTCCCTTATATGTGTTTCAATTAAAAGAATAGTTCACCCAATAATGAAAATTTGCTGATAGAATGAGAGTTCAGATGACTCTAGTCAATTAATTAATGTCTTGTGAAGCGAAAAGCTGCATGTTTGCAATAAACAAATCAATCCTTCAGATATTTTAACTTTAAATCAATGTTTCTGGCTAAAATAAGAGTACTCTATCCATAATATTGCTTTCTCAAGAGAAAAAGTTGTCTTGTCTGAATCAGGAGAGAAATATACACAGATGAAGCACCGTTTACAAATGAAAACCGTTCTAAACAAATATGTTGAGAGGACAACAGGGGATGGACTTTTCCACTGGAGGAAGCATTATTATGGATTATGGACTTGTATTTCGGCTGGAAACAACAGTATGTGGTAAATTAACTTACCGGATTAAAAGAACAGTTCACCCAACAATGAAAATTTGTTGAAAAGTCAGCAACGGTTTGAACATAAAACGTTTTAATGATAGATTTGTTTCCTACAAACATGCAGCTTTTCACTTTACAAACTGTTAATTGATGGACTTTTTGTTGTGTGGATTTCTTGTGAATTATTGTGTTTTTTTTTTCCAGCTGTTTGGACTTTCATTCTGACGGCACCCATTTACTGCAGAGGATCCATTGGTGAGTAAGGGTGCTACAGTAATGCTACATTTCTCCAAATCCGATCAGATGACGAAACAAACTTATCTACATCTTGCATGGCCTGAGAGTAAATAATTTTCAGAAATTTTCAGAAACTTGGTAGTTCAGTATAAGAAAGTTTTTATTTATTTATTCAAAATTTTTTTTGTTCTGTAATTGTTTGTGAATTTTAAAAATTTTACTAAGTGAAAAATATTTCTACACCAAAGGTTTTTCTGTCACAGTCTTCAGCGGGTGTGCCCAGGAGGGCCACCAGATGACTGTGTTCTGGGAGCACATGGCTTGTGTTGTGTTTGTCTGTTGCCATGTGCTCTCTCCTGTCTATTGTCTTGCCCCTCCCATCTTGTTACCTCGTTATTGTTTTAGTTGCTCCACCTGTGTCTCCCTCGTTAGCCTCCTCGTTTGGTTTCCTATTTATTCTCCTGGTGTCTGTAATCCTGTGCTGATCCGTCATTTCTCATTGTGTGTGTGTTATGTCTGCATGTAGTGCAGTTCCTAGCCTGCCTGTCTGTTTTTCCCCCTCGGGGTGGTTTGAGTTTGTTTTTGTTTCATTTTTATTATTAAAATAAATAACCATTTCTCCTGCAATTGAGTCCTCGCTTCATCTCCCCGCACGCACCGTGACAGTTTTTATCCTAGCTTCATGAATCCTGTCCTACTTTTTGGTGTTATAGAAATGGCCAGCCTATAAAGCAGCGTCTCGGTGTTTCTAATCTGGGCTCTGTTCATGTGTGTTTGAGGTGTTCTCGTGATTCTTCATGAGGTTCAGATCTCATCTGAGCTCGGTTTCATTCTCATCAGCGGTTTCATTGCAGTGTATTTCTCTCATCTGAGAGATGATGAATCTCTTGCTGGATGGTCGAGGGTTGAACGATAACGGGCCGCTCTTCATCACAATCCAACCAGCATCATCAGTGAAACTTCAGAAATAAACATCTGTGTTTTTATTAATATTCACATCACATTTATAATCCTGTTTTCTGATTCATTTTCTCATTGATCGGATTTGGAGAAACAAACTTATCTACATCTTGCATGGCCTGAGAGTAAATAATTTTCAGAAATTTTCAGAAACTTGGTAGTTCAGTATAAGGAAGTTTTTATTTATTTATTCAAAAAAAATTTTGTTCTGTAATTGTTTGTGAATTTTAAAAATTTTACTAAGTGAAAAATATTTCTACACCAAAGGTTTTTCAGTGTATGCCCAACGTTTAGCTGTTTTGATATTTAGCTGTGGTAATTTCAGGTTTTACTGATTGCATTCAGTCCAGGCGAAACATGACCCACACATGCTAAATAATTACAAATCATAAAAGGGCAAAAGATTTCTGTGAAGGTGTAAGGTATATGGCTGGCTGTGGGTTAGAGAATACAAAATTGCATTAGTGCAGTATAAAAACAGTGTGAATGCATGCAAAAAAAAAAACCCACCTTGATTGACAAACAAATGTGTGTTACTTACATGCAGGATATAAGCTCTTACTTTTAACAACTCTTTTCCGGTAGGAAAACTGTGCTCTGTAGTAAATCCAGGGATTATTTCTATTTTTAGTTGTATTTTTGCAAGATGAATTTTGCAGTTTGCTGCAGTATCACTTCATTTGGTGAAAGAGGTATATTTTGCCCAGTGGTTAAGTTGAAAAATTAGTTTGCAATACACTCGTGAGATCGTAAGATGACGAATACTTTAAATGCTTTAGTCCTGGTGAATGTTTATTACTGCAATAAAAGCACCAAAGTGCATAAGTACAATTATCTATGAACATCCACATGTCGCAGTTGTTTCTACCCAGTTTCCTCTCAGTCTATTCAAGTAATAATAAATTATAAATGTGCTTCCCTTTCACAAAGGAATAAGCCATTCTTCCTCCTTACATCTACTGCAAGCTATTGTCCAATCTGAAGAAATTCTACTGAGGTTTCATTATCCACAGATTTGCTTTGTTGGAAACATAACATTACAGACTATGTCAGATTTAATGGAACTCAGCACATATTATTCACTGTGTTCAGTGAATATTTTTTTGAAAATTCATATCTTTT